GTGCGAGCAGGGGTGTCCTTCAGCTCCCGTAGTTCCTTTATGAGCTCAGCCTCTGGCATCCTCTCTCGCAGGCTTGCCCTGGAGCCACCTGCAGCACAAATGGATCGCCAAACTCGAGGGCATGCATGTCTCGCCTGATGTTGCCGATGGTGATGAAGCTTGACTCATGGCGCTGCCCGTCACAGTCGAGGAGGACTGACTTCGAGACGGAACCGTCGGCCTAAGATGTGTGCACCTACCCTGCATCCGGCCAGACATCGAGTCCAAGCGACTGCTTCTGGAGCTTCTGACTTTGAAGGCTCATCGACTTTTGCAACGGTAGCCTGCAGTTGTGGCTGCCTCGCACGGGTCGTGGGGGGGGGGGGGGGGCAAAGTCGTCTTGTCTTGTCGGAGCTAAAGCTCGGCTTATCTTCCAACGCAGCACTGAAACACCGCTCTGTGGCCTTGAGAGGCACCGGAAAGCTGCTTGCTGTACGAGCTCTGAGATGACAAAGAGTTCTGTCGCGCATAAACCGCCCACGAGGTCGATCTTTGTAGCGCTGCAATTGACATCCCGGACCTCTAGCGATTCAAACTGCGCTTGAATCCTGAAAGGCAAGTTGCAGCCCACACAGGATAAGCCTGATCGCACTCCTGCAGACTGTACGTACCTTCAAAAGATCACTTAAGTTCAGCTGAGCCCAGCCTCGGAGGCGTGAAACATTCCGAGGTCCTGGGAGACCTGCCGTGAGATGAGGTGTTGACAGCCCGTTTGCGGAGCTACTCTGACAGTCTGCTGCAGACATGCGACGGGAGGGATCGGCCATCCAACGGTGACAAAAATCGCGGCTCCAGCAGCACCGCATGCATAGAGGATTTGTCGGGGTTATCAAACCGGATGCAAAGCGTCAGCCAGTCGCCAGTGTTGGGGACACTAGGCTTCTGAATAAAACCTGGGCACATGGCACGCTTCCTGCATGGATCTCGCCGCCTGCGCTTCCTGAACTCAACTCTGGCCGAGAAACAAGGGTGGCCGTGGCGTCTGTGAGGACAAATCACAGCAGACAAACCATTGAGGTGTATCATGTGGCCTTGGCTTCTCTGCACTCGTCCAGCTGTATCAGGGAGACAGTTGCCTCCTCAATCACACTTCGTGCGTGCCTGGCTTATGGAGGTCGCCTTTTGAGCCTTTGAAACATGGTGTTTTGCGGCATGCGCTTGGCCGCATTGCAACTCAGGCCGTGCAGCAAATTGTGGGCCTGATAGCCTGCGGGAAGGTTCGCGAAAAAATGCTGTTGGATGCAATGCTGTGTCGACATGCTCAGGCGAATTATGAAGCAGCAAAAGCGAAGTTTCTAGTCATTCATCTCCACTTCCGTTCAGGTCATGGCAGGACCCACACAAATCACATGCTGCAGTATGTTCAGGATGTTGCTGGGCTGAAGTGGCACCCTACATGGGCCACTATTGAACTTGCAAGGAGGACAAGCATAAAACGCTGAAGCAGCACGTTGCGCCTTTTCAAATCCTGCCGGGGAAACAGATCATGGCACCAAGTTTGCAAGACTATCTTCTATGCAGGCAAGGTTTCGTGAAATTCTGGGTAGCGACATCCCTGCCAGCGGCACAACAGTGGATGAAGGCCAATGAAGGCCTAGAGAACTGTGACATGCGATATGCTGCGTTCATGGTACAGACCAGAAGTAAAAGCGTGTCGCAACGTGGCCAAAGCAAATGTCCAGGCTACCACTTCCGGAGGGTCCGAACCATCGCGTGCACTTGTCTACGTGCTGAGGAGGACTAGGCATTAGCCTACAGGGATGTATCGGCGATGTTCGCGAAACGAAACTCATGGACGCTTGACATCGGCGCAATAAAATCGACAAGAATACCGAAGCTTGTCCAAGGCTCTGCTCTGCAGGCCGCCCAGAACAACATGTGTGCCCAGTCGCCACTCGGAGTGTACTGGAATGACTTCTCCAAGGTTTGCTCGACACCTGCCAACTGCAGTTCTGTCACAGTTGCTCCCAAGCCTGAACGACTTGCCGTCACTTTGAGGCCAGGACTCACGGACAAAAATGCTTCTTGAGTCGTCCAGAACCGCGAGCGTGCAATTTGGTATGTCGACACCTCTACCAAAAGACTTGACTTCGAGGCATGGGACGTCGCTATTTCCTTCGCAAATCCAAGCTTTTGGCTGAAGCACCTGTGACCACTGCTGGGCACAAACTGAACTTCGACGATTGAGAGCAGTCCAGCATCACAAGATCGCCTGTTCAAGCAGCATTGCGCCCAGGTTTCAGCAGGTGCAGATAAGGCCTGGCTCCAGCTCATGAAATGGTTGAACGCTGCCGGTGAGCTCCTGGCCCATCAGGCGCGTCACTCAGTCTGTGGCATCGATCTCACAAACGACACCGTGCTGCTTGCATCTAGGGGCAGACACGAGTTCAGAATCTGCTTCATCTGCACCTGTACTCATCTCGGCTATAGGCAGCAGCCATGACAGCCTCAGCACGACTCGCCTGATATTACCTCATGAACATCAAAGCCATCACAGACATTACTAAGGCATGCCACCGCTCGCGAGGCAGTGGATCAGTGGCTGCCAAGACAGATGACAAGCGGATTACTGTCGGAAACTCCTCCTCCACGTGTCGCGTGTGCCTCATCAGACGGGCCATGCAGTGCAAAGCCATGGAACCTCGATAACGCAGTGCAAACTGGCTGTGGTCCGGACGCCCCGACAAGCCAGGACAGCATTGCCAGGAAGCCGCCAGTGCAAGTTGGAATTGGCCGGCATGGCACTGGACCTTCGACCTGTGCTTTGGTGCGGACCGCACTAGTCCTAAGAGTAGAACGTGAATGGGCCTCTGAGGACCTGGCCTTCGACTTGTGGTTCGATGTGGGTTCCATCTCTTCAATTGCTTGCAGACTGGAAGACAGCTCCAGCCGGGCCTTTCCCTCAAAGGATGCTGGGGGACACGCACACCGTTTCGATGTGAGCAGAGTGCGAGAGGGTGCGCCGTCTTCTGGAACACGCTCACTAAGTATGGTATCGTGGCATCGGGTGCTGTCTTGTAGGTTCTTGAGATACAAAGCCAGAAAGCGTGGCTCCAGAAGCAAGGCTCCTGAAGCACCTGCGCTGGTCTCGGCCGTTTTCTCCCATCTCACGCAGAGCCTCAGCTTGCTGTCTCCCTCCGGCTTTGGTAAGAAGCATGGATGACCATATCGACGATGTTCCCGAACCGTGGCAGTCAAGCCGTTAAGATGCTGCATCTTGCTGCTCTGCAGGCCTCCAATGATATGGCGAGTTCCCACGCGCCAATCTCTGTGAATCGTACGCAAAGCGCGGAATGCCGCGTGGCACTCCCCGATCTTGAAAGTTCGCGACGGATCCAACACGGCCACCTTGCAGTCAATTGGCGTGACATCGAGGACAACCGCTGCAGCACCTCGAAATTCTGGATGTACATCGCTTCCAAGCACGACAAAATCGCCGGCTGCAAAGTTTTCCTTCGGAAAAAGTGAAGACTGGAACGAACCATCATTCAGAAGACGAAAAGCACTGTCTGTGTAGTACCTATGCCAAAAAGAGCAAGAACGAAACACATTTTAACTGAATTCTGCTTTGAAGCCGCATTTAGTAGCCTGCTGCTGTTCGGCAACACCTGAAGGCTTCAAACTATGCCCAGGCAGCAACACGACAACATCCGATTAGCAACTCACAGTTTCGTAGCTGATGCGCCTGCTTGCAGGGATCAAGACGCGCGTCATCCTTCAGCTTCGTTGCCTTGGCTGCCCGGGTGCCCCATGGCTTAGGCCCCGCCCAAAAAGGACCCCAATCACTGCTTTGGTTCTCCACTCCATTTCACGGCCGAGCCGCATTGGCCACGGGTCTGGCATCGCACAAGGAAGCAAACTTGCAAACTTGCGGAAGCCTGAGATCACCGTAGGAACCGCAGCACTGACAACCGCTCAAGTCTGAAGTATTTAGGTGTGGAGGGGTCTGGTGGCTCTGCGAGGCGCGGCCTGTGCCCGCAGCGGCTCCACGAGTTCCGACTGTCAGTGCACATCTTCAACTGAAATCACGTACAAGTGCACCACAAGTGCACCACAGGCGCCGAATTCAGTGTAAAGTCCAATACCTTGATGAATCCAGCACGCCTGTCTCGTGCTCATTTAGCATACCGCTCGACATCATGAAACAAATTCCCAGCAGGGCAAACACTCGGAGGCTCCTAGACACTCCTCGGTGTGGTCTCGAAATTCCAACAGTCTGTAGTCTATGCGGTGCAAGAATTTCGCGTAATTCCATACCGTGCTCCTCCAACAGTGCCGCGCGCAGCGTGAGGTGCTCATCGTCTTCCCGTCAATGTCGTGCGCGCTGTGCCGTGCACAATTATTTTGGCCCCGACTCGTTGTTTCATTCCCACCTCCATGAATCGCACTCTTGCCATAGCCCCACGGAGATTTTTATTTCGGGTGCGACTCATGCTTTTGCATGCAGTGCGTGCCAGTCGTGCTCCCGCGACGGGGTGCTGAGCAATTTGGACTCAGGGGGGCAGGGTTAGTAGGCATGTAGGATTTGGACTACTAGAGTAGAGGCCTACACGGCATGTAGCCAGCCGGGGTTCTGGGCAAGGTAAACCGAAAGTACAGCAGTAATCCTACCGACAACCTCGGAGAGGGCTTTAGTTCAACAACAAAGACGAAGTTGGCCAAGAACTTGTCCGAGCAACTCCTCAGGCGAATGGCGCGCTGCAGGACGACCAGGCCACCAAGCTTCGAAGAGTTTGGTGATACCGGCTGCACAACCTGCACGCAGGGGGAACGACACCTTCCTTGTGAGAGTTCTTTCTCTTTGCAAAAGTGGCGAGCGAGAGAGAGCGGGAGAGAGAGAGAGGCAGCAAGGGATGACTTACACCTGAGCAAATCCCTCATGCTGCTATGAGCATGACTTGATTTCATTATGTCTGATTGCCCGAATATAACCACTTCTTTGCCGGTGATGGCAGCGAAAGCGTACGTGCTGAGCCTGTGCGTTCTGCCGCATCCATGGCAGAGTGCCATGCATGAGGCAAGCTTGCAGCCAATAAGAAATCGCAGCATGCTGACATTCAGCAATTTCCAGATCGCGACCGCACAAAGCAGCTTGGATTACTCAAATCAACAGCACCGAAATAAACGGGCTTTTCCATGCAGGCCACAGTTCGGCACGGAAGCTTTGACTCCGACAGGCCCGATCACAGCTTCTGAGGTTACTGGGTCATTCCAAGTGCGCGCACCATCAGCTGCACCACCTTCAAGAGGCCCAGAAGAACCTGCCGGCTGATGTTTCCAGCCGCCACGGAAAACACAACCGGACACCCGCAGCTGGCCAGCGATCCAAACCAGAGGAAACCAGCTGACACTCATCAAAGCTACGGCACAAAGCATGAGTCAGCTGTTAGCAAGCAGCTCTGGTTTGAAGGCCAGCGAAAATCATGGCAGCACTGAGAGCTGCTGGAATATAATTGAAAGGGTTATCGCGTGCTAGTTCTTGGGTAAGAACTTCTTCGCAGTTTGTGCGATCACCACGGACACTACCCCGAACGCCAGGCAACCCTGCAATGCCGGCACCTCGGTCTGCAGCATGCTTCGCAGGCGTGTGTATTCATGCAATTCAACATCATCGCCAACTGTTTGTAGAATCTGATCTTACATGATAGCGGGCTCTTCTTCTGACACACAAAACGTAGCTGAATACCAGTAGCCAGGACGTGCATCAGACTGAGCAGCAGGCCACCTCTGCAAGCTGGCCATTTATGGCCGCGGCCAATGTAGCCACAAGCGCGCCAACGACCGCACAAGGCCCTCCGAGCTCCAGGGCTTGCTGCCGCTTCCTCAGCCAGTGTGGTGGCTATCTTGTGCTGAAGCGAGGCCTGGTTTCGGGTCCTCACTGCCTCACCCTGCCGTGCTTAACTGCAAACGCAAGGGTGCTATCTGCCACGATCTTGGGCGTGGTGCTCCACATTTTCACTCTGCATCTGCTTTAACCTTACTAACCTTGGAGACGAGATGGAATTCGCCTGTGCCAGTTCCGGCAGGCACCGGCTGTGTATGGTGTTCTTGGAAGCATCAGGACCCTGCTTGGAGGGCCAAGGGAAAACAGAATCAAGGACGTGGACAAACAGAAGAGCGTGGCATCATGACCAGTTCGATATTAAGGGCGGGAAGGGAAGAAGTACGACGCCTAGATGCAAACGGATCGGGTCCAGAAAGCTAGCTTTTGGAAGGAAGGTGGAACGGATCTGCTGGTGCAAGTAGGAGGACGGGAGCCAATTAACCCATCGAGGCAAAACTTGCGGACGAAGCCACGAAAGCCAGGGCTAGGTGGAAGGTCTAAGACGCGTGCTGATGCGGGGACAGGTGGCCGGTGGCCGTGCAAAGGAATGCAGGCATGAAGTTGTAAGATGGAAAGCGTTGCCCAACGAGTGGGTGGAAACAGAATCGGCGAGGGCCCGCACCAGATGCTGGCACATTACAGCCGAAGCAGGCAACAAGCATCAGCTAATCAAGGGTCGCATCATTTCGCATGCCGCTGGCAGAGATGAAGCAAAACAGGCGCAGCCACAGGCTTGCTCTTGCCAGACGCAGTTAGAGCCTCGATGAGCCTCGTGGAAGGGCACGGACAACAGAAAGCCCAGCTCGGCGAAGAAATGAAAGGCAGCTGGAAGCTGGAGAGAGCGTGCTCCCGTTCCAAGTGAAGCTGAAAATTGTAGCGAGAGCCTGTTTAGAGCTTCCACCACTCCACGCTCTGTTCTGGCCATGTCTGGTTGACTCCTTCTCTGGATCTGGTGGAACTGTCAGTGCCATCCTTGCAACATCAGAATCTGGGCCATCGCCAGGTTATCCCGATACAAGTTCAATGCGAGCCGACCACGCCGGTCTTGCCCGAATTGCTGCCACGACTCTTGGTCAGGAAGCCCTTGTACTCGGCAGGTGGCTCAGTCATTGAGAAGGGCTTGTCAAGACTCCAGCGAAGTCCGAGAACACAGCCTCCCACAACTGCAGAGACGGCGCATGGTGTGGAAACGTGGAACCAGCAGAGTTCGGACAGTGAGACGGGCACCTGCCTCAGATGGATTGACGTCCGGATTCGAAGACACCCCAGGCTACAGCTGCATTGGCGGCGACCGCGGAATAGTCGAAGCTTCCAGCAGCGACCATGCCCATGTACCTGAGCTCAACGGACTCCCACCGCCCGTCAAGCGCAATGAAAGCGAGTCGCTTGTACACCCCGACAAGCGCAATAATGGCTGCCCCGGCATATCGAATCTGGGACTCCTTCAGTTTCGCCAACAGTAAAGCAGTGGGCAAAATTACTTGTCGAACAAGCAGGTAAGGCGGAGTCCTGAATAGTGATCATGCGGTCTTCCGCAACAAGCTGAGAATACGGCTGCTGGCCCTCCTCCACGTATGCAAGCAGATGCTGCCAGAATAGAAGCACTTGCACACCACACGTATTGACAATGAAGACCTAATGATGCTCGAACTGAGTTCCTACGAAAAAGCTCCGACACTCCGGCCAGCTGACATGTTGAAACTGAGCTGAAAGAAGCTCCACCAACTGCGTCAAGCTCCTTTGCCACATCGCTTTGGCGCATAGGTGTCCGGGCCTGCTACACAAGTGTACACACACGCACAAGCCCCTTCTTGGTTGCTCCCACAGCAACACAGAGCACCGAGCCCGAGAAAACGGACTGGCGCGATGGACGATCACAACAGTTGGCGAAACAGCAGCAATCCTGTCACCTGTAACGCCACAACCACAGAAACAATTACACAAACAGTCATGGCAGAACCCTAGCGGTGAAAGACTAGGCCCACATGTGTTTGGTTGTTGTTGTGGTTACATATGTAGGGCCCAGCTACCCAGAGAACTGTATTGGGAAATTGTTATTGTCAAGTCTCGATTTCAGGCAAGGTATTGGTGAATTCGGCTTGTCGCGCAATTTAAAATCCACTCGGCCTTTCCAAACTTTGGGGTGTCAGGAACACCAGTGTACCCTGTCGCACAGTCGGCCCTCCCTCCCTCCCTCCCTCCCTCCCTCCCTCCGTCCCTCTCCCTGGGCTTGTTGGGCCCCGGTCCCCTCCCCTCCCCTCCCTCCCTCCGTCCTGCCGACGGCGTCCACCCCTAGCAGATTAAAAGCTGCTTCTCGGAGGAACCCAGCCCCAGGGTGAGTTCCCCGACTTGAGCCTACTCGACTTTCTTCATCTAGGCACTCTTAGGCCGTTCGCAAGTCTCGGGGCAGCTCCACTGGGAAGGGTTTCTTGCTTGCAATTCCCGGAGCGCACTCTTCCAGCGCACCTTGCGCCGGCGTATGGCAGCCCCGATTATCGAGGAGGTGGAAGCCAAGGCCACAGAGCCCCAAGACAGCCGCGAAGGTCTGGCAGGGGGTTGGGGAAGGCCAGAGCAGGGGCCTCATCTTGCATTCATGCAATCTGGAGCTCTGCATTGGCTGCTCTTGCAGAGGAGAGAGGCCTTGGCTTTGGGAGCTGTTGCCGAGGCCCCGCGCTCAATCCCGATCCCGCAGTATTGCGCTGGGGCCGTGCGGGGATGGCCTGCAAGCCTGGGAAATTGTTCACAGCGTTCCAATAAATCCATGACGAGCTTTCAGTCACAAGCCTGAACTTGGAGGAGGGGTATCTCTAAATGCCTGCTTTCGTTTCCCCGCCTCCTTGGGCAACTTCAAGCTAGTGACTGCTAGTGCCAATCATGAGTGACGGAATCCCGGAACCTCTGCGCAAGCGAAGCGACTGTACCCCACGAAAGCGTCCATCGTGCCCGTGCCTTCGAGCCGAAAATCTAAAAAAGAAACGGTTGTTGTATCGCCGTGGGATCAGCCAGATTGGGTGATATTGTGTGCACGGCTTGCTGCATCAACATAGTCTGCGTTGCTTCCAGCAGCCTGTCTCTGATAGTAGCTGCAAGCATGAGCGAATGAATCGCAACCCTGTCAGCCACTTTTCTGATCTGTGACCAGCGACTCAGAGAACAAAGGCTTGGGTGGCCTAGTGGACAACAGCAGCGTGAGTGAAAACGGAAGGCACAAAGAAGGGAGCGCTTCATCATCTGACTGCGAATCTCAAGCGGTTCACATGTAGTCCTTCTTGTAGGATGTGCCTCCGACCTGCTAAGCACAGACTACAGACATCAACAAGTTATCTTGTGATTGCTCTCGCACGGTCCACAACTCATGGGGCAGGACAGTGCGGAAGCAACTGAGCTTTGTGCCCCAGGATTCCTCAGCAGTGTGAGATTCGGGTCCATCCGCATGCTACCGCACCAATTCCCACCCCAGGAGTCACGAGACATCACTGTGACACTGGACTGACTGGGTTTACTTCTGCCGTCGACCTTGACGGTGACATGATCGTTCAACCGGTAAGAATAGAAATCTTAGAATCTTCCAGAAAGCAAGAGCCATCCTTAATCTCTGTTCAAAGGTCATGGTGTTCGTTGGGTCTGACCGGCGCCATCTCTGCTGCATGTCTGCTGGTGCTGCATACTCGGTGCCATGCCCGTGTTCTGCTGGCAGCTTACCACCGACCTTCTCGATGGCCTCGCAAAGGGGTTGATTTATCAGCGCACATGTGCTAAGTGACCGAGCCTTTTTTATGGCCATCTTCGCTTCATGCACATCAATGCCGTTGTCGAAAACATAATCCTCGTGGTAGACATTGCAACCAAAATGCGAATACACTAGGCGTCTGGATACAGGGTACTGAGCCGGTAATTCTGGGTACTGTGTGAAGTTCTTCGGCAACGCGTAGTCAATTGACAGCCCCTGCTGGCCGAGGCCAATGCAATACGTCCGGAATGCGGGGGCGACGGCAAACCGGAAGAGAGTTGCCCGGGACCGCTCACGAGCATCATCGCAGACATGGAACTTTACTGCACCCTCTGGCTTGGAGTCTTGAAACTTCCTTAAACGGGACATCAAGCCCTCCAGCTCGCCTGGTGTGTATTCTGCGAACTCCATAAGCATGTGGTGGTCAAACTCCTGCGTTAGCGCTTGTAGCTTTGCCGGCAAAGGCTTCGGCAAGATGCCGTTAAACCACCAAAGGAACTTGTCGCAAACAATGGTTGCAAACGGCAAAGGCACAGATTCGATGAAAAGCTTCAGATTCCACAACGGCTCCAGTCTCGTCATTCCTAAGATCTCAATCATCTTGATCAGGATCCGTCCTGCCTGGTCAACTGCATCGTGCACCTCGCGGTTGATGTACTCGCATGACTTCGCCATACAGTCAGGGCTGGCAATGCAAACCTCTCGCTTCAGCGCCTGAGCCGTCTCAAAGTCGCAGCAGGAAGCCCAAATCACGCTGTCTTTCTGAGGCATGGGAAATGTATCGTGTAGTGTCGCCAATATCAGAACTTTACCTTCTGAGCGATTGCATTCGGCACCACTAGTATCTGCATTGTACCGGGAAACATTGCTGTCCAACTTGGTGAGGTGCTGCCGGTAGTTTGGCCAAGATGCGGCAACCGTACACTTGGGATCCAAGTCTTGAAGGCCCAGTTCGGTGGCAGACTCGAGGAAATCTAACGCATCTTTGCCTTTTACATTGAGACCCAAGGTGTCCACGAGCTCCACCTCGCCTCCTTCAGCAACACGGCAGAACAAGGCGCGGTTTGTGAACGCCGGCCCCTTCCGGATCTGCGTCCCTCCGCTTCCATAGGACACTCCCGCAGCAACCGATGGGTTTAAGAAGATTGACCCAAGCACAGAATGGGAGTCTCTGTTGTACTTGTTCTTCAATTCGCTCTGAAGCTGAAATATGCCAGCTCCTGCAAAGCACAGCACCTGGCCTCCATCAGCTCCTACCGGAAGGATTTTGTTGAGTCGTCTCATGTTTATAATCACGGTCGGCCTATCACACTCCCCTCTGGGGACAGAACCTCCAGTAAGTGAGGTGTTGGCCCCCTGTGGCAAAACAGCCACGCCTGCGGCACAGCATGCTCTAAGAACTGCCATGGCTTCGTGCAAAGAGCCCGGCTTCACCACAGCCAGTGCGGTTCCTTCGCCTAGCCGCGAACCCCTCATGGTGACATTGCTGCTGACGTTGCCTCTGCCAACGATCTCGCCCAGCTTGCCTCCAAGTTGCTGCTGAACATCTGTAAGCCGCACTTCACAGCCACAGTGCCTGTGTGGCTTTGACTCCTTCGGCTTGTAACCCACGAACAAACCCGAAAGGATCCCAGCGCCGGCTGCGAGGGCAACAGCCCCTCGTCGGGAGCCACCGCCAGAGAGGGAAAGTGAAACGGAAGCGCAACGGGCTGCGCATGACAGCCTAGTGAATGCCATCTCGGCCCAAGCCGAAGCCGAAGATCCCTTGAGGAGCCTTTCGGAGGCTGTGAGGCTCGGGCTGATGCAAGCCAAGCGCTGGCGGCTAACTTCGCCTGAGCCAAGATGGGCGAGCCAGGATGTTCGAGACAACGGCAAGAAAAATCCTGCAACGCTTCCTATGGCTATGCTTCCTTTGCATTCTCGCGATGAAGCTGAGTCTGCACATCTAGGGTCGAAAAATCTTCGACGCCCCTTTAGGACATCTCGCGCCCGACCGGGACGCGCTAATTTACTGCAAGAGCATGCAGGCCGTGCGGCCGCACAAAACCAGTTTTTGTGCGGGCGACAATGCTTTACACCCTGCGTCGAGGATCAAAAGCCGCACTCACCGACGGACGGCGTCTTACGCACACGAAAGTCGGGTGAGCTTTATTTTTGCGGACCTACAGGACGGAGGGGATGCCGCTCACGACTTCAGCAAATTGAATAAACACGTTCCCCCCATTGGAGCGCCGGCTTCGGCGGGAAGACATGCAAAGTTTTAAAGCCGAAAGAGGCAGCAAAGCCGACAAACGACCGCGAGGGAGGGCCCTATACATGCTCCATCTGCAGGTGCGTCAGGTGCAGAGGTGCCACCTCTCCCGCCACCCTCTGGTAGGAGTAGCCGGTGAGAGGCTTGCTTTCGGCATTCAAGCGTTGAATTAAGAACTCGTTGCAATCGCGGCCTTTTGCCAGCGCTTCCTCCCGGCCGTAGAGGCGCAAACCTCGGGCTCCGTACGCCTGGTACGGGTGCGCTCTCAAGACACTTTGGCTGGCATAGGTCCCATAGAGGACATATTCGGAGACACGCTCGAAGCCCTCGGCAATGCCGAGGATCTTTAGCGGCCAAGGCTCTGCACATTCCGTGCCAACGTTGGTCTCAATCAGATCCAGCATCTGGCATAGAACCCCTTTGTTGAAGACCATGTGGTGTGCAATCCAGGTTCCTCCCTTGCTCGGCTGAGTGGGCTCCATCTTGAGGATATGCCGGGTGCTCGAATCGTAGGCTTCCTGATGCCTGTCAGAAAGGTACTTCTCCTGCAGC